AACTAACAGAATTGACTGAGACACTACTCACAGGTACACTAACTTAGAACAAACACTACTTGGTCAACTTCAACAACATCCACCACAGCTAGCACCTTACAAATGGCTCATTAATCATCTCAACAAAAAAAGAGAAACACACTGACTTACAAAATAGAATGGACACTGTCTAGTGCAGGTAATTAATATGACTAGCAGTGGATAGATTGAAAATGAAAGCTCATGAGCAAGTTGCCGATCGCTGGTTACAACTTGATGATGACCTTTGTTTTGGTGTCAAACATCATTTACCAACCCAGGGGTTTCATTAACATTGTCGGCAGGAGGGCAACTGGTTTTCACAGGTGGACAAAACTATTAGAACTCAACTTTTTTTTGTAATAAAAACTTTCTGTTAGATGGTCAAACCAGGCGGGCAAAATTGTCCTCACAGCTGGTCAATTTGCCCACTGCTTGTCCCTTAATGAAACCCATGCCAACCACAGACCTTTTTAATGGCTTCTTCACACTATGGATGACAATGTAGTTGGAGAGGATGAAAGAAAACCATATACCATGTACGTGTATTTCAATTTGAACTACATGTACATGTAGACTTACAACAAGCCTGAGGTTTTTGATGATCTCCCCTCTTCCTGATATCAATGTTGGATAATATGGTGTGACCTGAGTTTTTTGCTTCAACCTCAATGTTTAATATAGTAGGGGAGTGGATTAGAGGAGGAGAAAAAAGGCCACCTTTTCCAATACATTTGTCTCAGGTTATAAATGAACTACATAAAAAAAACAAACATTTAAAAAAATCAGCAAGTAACTTGATCTTGTACTTACCACTTCATTTGTTAAAATGACCATCCCTGGCCATTCCTGGACATCTTGCAGAGCAGGCACGGGTTGATTTTGGGCCATATTTTGCGCTAAAATTCTGTAAAATGAAATGAACATGAAATGAACATTCACAGTCAATAGTTTGGTTTCTCCATTATTTTTTAAATTTCAGTACTTTATAGTTACATGTAGATTCAATTTGCATGTTATAAACAATTAGTGGATGAGGTTTTTGTGATAGCCAGAATAGTCAAGGTTGAGGTAGGGGTTATCAGCCGAAGCCGAAGGCTGAGGCTGATAACCCTTACCAAGACCTTGATTATTCTGGATATCACAAAAACCAAATCTAATAATAATTATTGTTTTATTCTACATTGACCGAAAAAAAAAATGGAAGTCATGTTTTTGCTTCTTCACTAACGGCAAGCAACACAAAGCACGTAAACTTGACATGATTACCCTTAGAAACCATGCACCGTGGTCATACATGACATGATTACCCATGACCTTGAGTATCCTCGACATGATTATTGTATAATCTGCGGAGATGACGTCACAGGCACTGATTTTGAAAATTCACTGTACGCTTTTGGCCAATCAGAAAAGAGATAGTGAGTTCAATGTATAATAATTATAGTTACAAGTCAGATGTTTTGTGACGTATCACTCCACTTACATCTGTTTCAAACTGAACTGCATTTCGTTGCTTTTGGTTTCTTGGAAGCAACTTTGATGACCACTATTGATCATTTGTTAAAAGGGACAGTTGCAGTTTGGTACAGTGTATGAACAGCTTTTGGTTTGCATCATTCTTGATACAGGTCTCATTAAGCTCTTTAAATGAAGTTTGTG